TTGCGCTTATCTCGTCTGAGGGATGTCTGTGAGTGATGAACATCAGGAGTTCTATGATAATCTCGGACAATGGGTCGAAACGCAAAAGAAAAATTACTCCAATTTGAGCGCCCTACTTAATGAAGGGGCTCGAGCTTATTGGTCGGCACCCACTTTCTATCCTTCCGGTACGACACCAACTACGACCCAGGCTTCTGCTCGACAAGTGAACGCTCAGCAGCACTCTCCAAGGCCCCCCGTACACCGGTGTAAGTTCGTACAACTCCTTCTTATTGATGTGTTCTCCTGGAAAACCGAAATAGTTAATGTCGCGTTCCCCAATTATCCTGGACGGTAGATTTACAGGCTCATAGTTGCAGTAAAACAGTTTTTTTAAACGTCAGCTGTGTATCTCACTGTTCTTTTGGAAAAAATCTGTAGTGATTTCGGACGCATCATAAGATCAGGTGTACCTAACTTTACTGACACCCCTTAACCTGTCCCCGCTGAAGTCCATTTTCTAAGATTTCGGTCGAACGCTTTCCCTCACTTTCTTAGACAAGGTGTCATTCAATACCAATTGCACTTTATTGCATTGCTCTTCGTGTTCTCCAAGCCTTTATGTGTCGCATTTAAAGCTGGTCGCAGTTTCTTGTAGTCATTGAAGTCCCGTCGAAGTTGGTAATCTTGTTATTTCTTTCGTAAACCGAGGCATACTTTATAATTCTAGATCTCCCCGCAGTAGCATGTTCTCTCTTACATATTAATCCTCCTTACTTATCTATTTAACAGTTTTTATGTTGATGTTTAAAATTTATCGCTGTATGCCAGTTCTACGAAAAATGTTAACACTAAGACCTGACATTTACAACGACCTTCCACAAACAAATCGGATTGACAGTCATGATAAGGTTCTGTCTGTGCAGTTCATGACTGTTGATGCACCTGGGTGATCATCTACATGTTATTAACCTTTGAATCCCGAGTGGAATTGCCACGCACATTACGAAACACCACATTTTTCCCGAGTGTCCACGAAAACTTACAACTGGAACATCTGGAGCGTTACTGTAGCTTACTTCTTTCTTTCTCCCGACCCATTGCCTTAAGTGTCTAGCATAACCTTTTTTACTCCTCCTATATCTGTACTGTCGTGAGATTATGTCCTGCTGCTGTTTATATGTAACTCCTGTGGCATCATTTTAGATTTAGTTCACAGGATTTATGCAAAGCCTGTCATTTTAAAACGACTAGCACCAAATATGGGTTATTTTGAGGAAAAATTAGGAATAGTAGTAGTTCGTTTTAAAAACAAAGATATCCAGCTGTAAAGTAAATGCCGACACGTTTAACCTCGTGTTTTTTCCATTTTCTCAGATCGGCGGTTCCAGTTGGCCCCACTGCATACACGACTGCTGGCAGAAGTCGTGGATCTCGTGCTAATGTATCTGCTTAAGGTCGCTCTTTTGCGTCTCATAGGTGGTCAAGCTCTGTTTTCGTAAGTCTTCCCCGTTGCCATGTATACGACTGTTTAGTCAGACAATTTATGGGTTTTCTACCGAACGACATACTGAACAGCCTGCCTGGCTACCGGTTCATGCGCATTTTCTACTCCTGGGCCTTCATTATTTCTCCAGAGGATGATTTGGACTTCTATGTACAGGTGCTGAAGACTTACGAGGAGTTTATACGACCCCTGCACAGCGATGCGCTGCTGCTCTCCAACGTCCTGTGGCTCTTTTTACGGGTGGTCAGTGAGGTATGTCTGCTTCTAGAACTGAGCCAAATCCGAAGTTGAAACACACAGAGTAGTTGAGCTTGGTGTTTTGCAATTGTGACAATCGCTCAGTGAGCTTGTTGGCGTCTATGCTTTCCGTAATTTACTGCTAATTTTTTTTCACCAGAATGGACGCACCCGAAGTCAAAATTTATATCAGAAAACAATCCAAATGACGCGCATATTCCTCGTGGTTCTGTCATAATAAACAGCGAAGTTTATAGTGCACTATAGTTAAAAGAAGGCGAAGTAGAAATCGAAGGGAGAATAAACATGCATTCGAGGTTATATATCGAGCAGTCATACGAATGACAACGACGCGTGGCTCTATTTTTGTAAGCGAATAAGGACAGGGGACAGTGAACAAAGAACGAGAGTAGTCAACGGATGCGGAGATAGTAACCGAGGTCAGAGGCACGGGACGGGAGGAATCGATAGATGACTAAGCGGGAACAGCTTCAGCTTGGGTCGGGTTACCAGCACACAAACTTAGTAGCAAATAAAAACACTAATAGGACATTGGTGTGCTGAATGTCACAGAGCCTTGACTGAAAACAACGTTTCTTATCCTATAAACTTAGGTGCGCCTGACTTGGTTCTTCACTTCAGGCATTTGGTATTTAACCATTTGTTTCGTTGCACTTGTTTAGACGTTTGCCATTAGTCGTTTGTTTGTTTTATTTTCATTCTAACCGCATTTCGAACAGTCGCCTTCAGAGTTGTTCTGACTGTACGTCAAAGATGTGTTAGGAGTTATCCTCTACTACTTCCATTCACGCCATCCGAGCGCAGCCGTAAGCAGAAGATTTCAGGTTGAGTTTGACACGGCTTGTGCCAAACCGTTCGAACCCGCGCCCCTACTGCATAGTTGGGTTTTTTAGACGTAATCTCAGCGACCAATTCAATTCAATCAGCCCCGCATCGTTGCATTTTTATCGGTTCGGCCGACAAAGCCAAATGTTTCGTATTTGCTGCGTTGTGCGTTTCCTGCTTTTCTCTTAATTTATACTCGTTCATATGCATTATCATTGATCAGTCGGTAGCCGCTTCTAGCTCCATAAAGTTGGGAATGACAGTGGCTGCAATTCAATTCTTCCCCTAAACGCGCCCTCATGTCTACAGACACCTTCATTTTCTACCTCATAGATTTTCCTGCTCAGTCATCCCATGCTCGGTTTCGGACCCGGCGGCTGTACCATTGGGAAGTATCTATTCAACCTGCGGGTTGTTTCCTGCCGTAGCTTGATTCGCCAGGCGGATTCAGTTGAAGTTTCACCCGCCGGTGACCCTGGCTTACTAAGGTGAGCTCTTGTATACCATTTGTGCATAACTGTATTCCGTGAAACTCGAACACAGCGTTCACAGAAATGCATAGACAACTCTCCTGTTGTTGTCCTCGGTCCTCTGCGAGTTGTCTCTTTCCCTAACTCTCGTTAGAGGAGAGGGGGGAGGGAGGCGATGGTTGAGCACCTAGCAGGATCAGAGATTAGGGTACAGTAGATTACCTAATTCATACCATGTAATGATCGATTTTTCAGAGCAGTTGAGGCTCAGAAAGCCTTTTAAATCTTGTTAATTGGAGGAAAACAGGCAGGATTTGGGTGAAGTCGGAGGTTTCCAGATATCCAGGAAATTTCCCATGCTGTTTAATATCTCTGAGGATGGTCTGAAATTTAGTTGACCCAATTGTGAAAAAACTCACGGCGTTTGGAGGTAGTCGAACCCGCTTAGTAGGGAAAGACTTTACGCAGCCAACTCTCATCCACTTAAGCTACAAACGCCACGCCTTGCGCCATGAATTTAATCACACTTGGATCGATTTTACCCGCCCAACTTTAGCGCTTGTATGGGATCCACCAATACGAAACAGCAAGTTGGCTGCCCAAGCGGGATTTCCCAAGCAATCATCTAGAATCCACCAGAATGATTACTAGTCTGATCCAAGTGTTATTAAATTCACGGCGCAATTCGTGGTGGAGTGTTGGCTGCGTAAAGGCCCTCCTTGCTATGCGGGTTCGACTCCCGCCAAACACAGCGAGTTTTTTCCACAAGCGGGTCAAATAAATTAAGCAAATCTGCCAAAACCTCCTAAATAATAGTCTGAAAGTCATTATAGAAAAGCCCATAAAGAAACTTGAAGAAAGAAAAGTCCACTTAATATGCACAAAAGCAGTATGTTTACGATTTCACCTGAAAATTAAACTTAGATTTATTAGTCACAGTTACGGCTATTTTTCAGGTTTTTGGATTTCTAGACAAAATAAGTTTTATATTCGCCTCAGGCTGTTCGTTATCATTTTAAAACTTCGGTACATGTATTTATGTTGGTTTTCAAGTGACTATCCATCATTCGTAAATCGTGAAATTTTGCGTGTGTGAGACACTTGTCAAGGAATACATGCCCTGACTGATAGGCAAGGTTGGCGTCTGCTGAACCTTAATGGCAACAACTTGGGAGGCTATCAAAGAATGCACGACCAGGTCGGAAGATTACGAATACCCCCTATAGGCATAGGCTTTTACAGTCGTAACGTATGGATGTAGGTCTTATGTGCCCTTGAATGAGCTCACGCCGCCCCTCCTACAACTGGCATGCCTTACTCCAGTGGATTTTTATGTCTTTTCGACACCAGGCAGTCAACGTCCACACAATAACCGGTGTCGACAACACGCACCGGGATAAAGCTGATGGCGGTCTTGAATCGTTTTCTTCCGGCCATATCTGCGGAATTTCTCAGAGCCTCTTCAAGAATCAGTCCGAACAACAGATGAATATTACAATTGATAGAAATCACCGATACTGCGTGTGCCTGTTATTAACTTGTCCTACGCCTCGATAGTCGCCAGTCGAATAACTCACCTCAATCAAATCCCTGGCCCAGAGCGAAAGGAGAGAAATGTATTGGTGTATTCCCACAGCGTACTTAAAACTAAGCGGAACATACCAGAATGTCCAAGTTGTGACTGAAATCAGACTCTAATTAGTTGGTGTTCTTGAGTGGTTTGCGTATCGATCGGACTTCTGACTCAAACCTGTCAAGAGCTGGAGCGACATCGGCGCACTAGCGAGAGGCCTCATGTGGTTAATACCCTGATATACTGTGTGAATCTGCTTCAGGACCCTTGCTTGCAGTTTCTGTGGAAGCAAGACACGTTCGTACAATAGGATACAACCGTTAACGACGGACGGAGGAACGGCTGCAGTTCTCCCATTGATTCCAGCTCACAAGGCTGGGTGTTCAAATCACGTCGGGGTCACCAATGACGAAACGCTGACGTCCTCACAAAAAAAACAAACAATATCTCACGAATCCCATGCAATACGAGCAGTAAGAAAACCCAGTAGGTCAAAAAAGTTAATATTGAAAAATGTTGAACAAACTTTATGTCAGTAGCAAACGGTGCCGCGGTTGACATGCAGCCGTGTAGACAAGGAAACGTGATGAGCTTTTTAAAGGTAATTTAGTTTATTGGGTCAGCACAGTTTTACCGGCCGTTGAGTGTAATGTTCATAGGAATCTCAGAAATCTATTACTCTATCGGTTTATTCCTCGTCCGCCTCACCCCCATCTTCCTTATAAATCTCGGTATGCATTATTCGTTCACGCTCACATATGGATGCCTACCTCTCGCCACCCACGAGTTTTTAAATCATAGTAGCGAATAATGTCCTCCTGTAAGTTTACCACCCGGGTAACTGCATTCGTCTGCTGCCGGATTATCGGAGTAAAGTATGTGGCAGACCTGGCTAAACATGCGTACAGTCCAAAAGTTCTGGAGGCGGCCTTTAAAATAAAACTGCCAATAACGTGTACATTCATTTCGAATGGACAAACTTACTTTGCCTGCGTCAACAAGTAAATATGTCAAACGTAATGTGAACCGTTACAGAGTGGCTAATTAACCACCGGGTGTTAAGCAACTTTTTTTAAATAAATGAGATTGTCAATCAAAATGCTTCCTATTTTGCGCTGTTAGCGATACAAGCGAAAATGATCTCGTAGGACCGTTGAGGTCACAAGCATATAGCCCGTGGCAGGGTGACATATCGGTAGGGTTTCCATTGATGAGGACATTAGGACATAGCTAATGGACGCAACACTGAGTCTTGCGATAATCAACTGAGCACAAGTAATTTGTAAGCAGCAGACTATAGAAAGGCGAAATTCGCACAGCCCTACCAAAAACATGGCCATTAATTACGATTACGTACTAACTCCAGTCGGTATAGATATTCAGTGTGCGCCTTGCCCACC